TTAGCAAAAGTTCAGAAATCTAGGCACTAACCAGACTTGACGTTACTTAACTTCGGTGATCGAATGTGTGTGATATGACAATCATTTTCAAGAAGACACTGACATCTGGCGCCGACATTGCAAGGGAGATAACGAAACGACAACAGAAACGAGGCATTAACTGGTGTATACATGAAGATAATTTATCGCAAATTTTCACTGTTCAATGTGTGTGATATTCAAAATCGAATTAATTACATTGACAAGAAAGGAGATAATATTGAAATAGCTTATTCAAAATAAATCCTTTTTTTCATTCGTCTCCGAGTTCAATATATTATTCGTACATCACTCTCTGTTGTAACATACCTACGGACGAGAATAGGTATGTCCCCATTCACATAAATACAGTAGTAAATACTGTATGTTGGTCTGCAGTTGGAGATTCGTCCCCAGCTGAGCTGTTCAAACTCTCTGCAACCGGGTTGAGAGGATCCGCAAATAGAGCTATATTGAGGGACAGAGTCTCGTCTCGGGAAACACCTACCAGACCCCGTTTTATAATGAGTCTACGGGGAATTTTTGGCTGCGCTTACGGGCTCTGTTACCCCCACATTAAATTCGGACTTGTGCCCCATATGACCGCGTAGGGCTGTTGGTAGATATCCTGCAGTTGGAGATTTATTGTAGAATTCACTTGACTCACTTCTAGCAATAGACTACTACTTCTACGCGCCGTTGGTGAATCATGTATGTGTTGTTCTTGTCCTAAGTATTATCGTTCATTACCAACCTTCGTCTGATTATTCTATTCAGTAACCTTCCCTAGGTTATAACACTATCTGAAATTGGTGTTCCAAGAAAGTGAGGAAAGAATTTCTTTACGAGACAAGTACACTGGAAACTGCATTCTAACAAAGTCATATCTCGTTTGCCTCTCTACTTTATATCTTTATTCATCTTTCTTTTCACCAGCTGCATGGAAACATGTTACCTTCTCTTCATATGAATCACACATATACACATCAACAATACTGTGTATAAATGCGTACGCACATTTGTAGACAAACTTACAGAATTTATCGAAATTATTCTGTACGTCGAGATTATCTAAAAGTCTCACCAAGAAATTATATTGGAATGGTGACATTCACATGGTTATCTCTAATAATAGAGAAGACAAACAAATATAAATCATGGTGCGCATGCGTGTCCACGAAGTTACATACGTCGATATATCGAAAAAGTTGAAATCGACGCAAACAGTAACTAACAAATAAGTCAGGCTAAATCCCCCAAAATAACTTCGAGGTCTCATTAACGTGTTTACTGAGAAAACAAGCGTCAACGGCGTAGAAATATTTCCTTTATCAAACGAAAAAAGTTGGTCATTTCCAAAATGGTTGCGAGGAACTATTTATTGCAAACAAAAAAGACGACGAGGAAAGAGAAAAATAAGTCACAAGAGGAAAGAGAAAAAAGTAACTTGTTTTGAAATTCAACAGTCATCACGTTTTATTTTTATTATCATTATTATTATTTTGTTTATCTTATTTTAAAAATGTTGTATAAATAATGTTAGTTGATGTTAGTGACGATAGTTCTGTCACATCCTGAGGATGTCCAAAGTTTTGGCTCGAGATGAGCGTCTCAAATTGAAAAACAAAGAAAGATAGGTCAAAAATCACCTTTTGAAAGACAACGGCGACACAAGACCTTGAAGTAAAGGTCAAAGTACAAGTATGAGTGTGGTCATGTGACCCAGCTTTAATGATGATGTCGATTGTTTTTCCATATTTCTCAGACTTAGGGATCCAATTAGTTATACCCGATAAATGTTGTGACGAACATGAATGCTGCCAGTGAGAAGCCGTAGTTAGGTTAGCAAGATTCGTCTCATAGACCATTACTACTTGATTTAGATCCGATGTTTTCGAGAGGAATACTCCTCGGGACTTTCTGCCAGACGAGACTAAGCTTAATGAATACCCGGTATTTTGCATAGAATATTTGAAGCTAGAATCTTTTTTTTACCGTTGCCAGCCAGGTGGCCAGTTTTTCTTAGATTTCTTCTACTTTCATATTTAATATGACGTGAAAAATAGAACTGGAATAGATATTTTGAATTGGAGACAGAAGTAATAATGGAATTATGTGAATTTTACAGAGGATTTTGAGTTAATAAAACAGAAAAAATGGACATGAAGAAGGAGGAGAAGAGAAAAACAAGCGACAAGTAGGGGGAGGAAGAGGAAAAGAGAAGATGACAAGGAGGAGGAAGAGAAGACAACAGGCGGGAAGAGAAGGCCAGGCAACAGGCGAGAAGAGAAGGCCAGGCAACAGGCGAGAAGAGAAGGCCAGCCAACAGGCGAGAAGAGAAGGCCAGCCAACAGGCGAGAAGAGAAGGCCAGCCAACAGGCGAGAAGAGAAGAACGGGCGGGAAGAGAAGACCAGGCAGCAGGAAGGAAGAGAAGGAGGAAAAGAATAGACAATAAGAAAGAGTATTGAAAAAAGTGCAGATATAAATGGAGAAAAAAAACAAATCAAATCTTATTTATTATTATTTGAAAAGTTGATGAAACGTTTGTTGCATTTAAATAATTAGCTTTTGAAATTCATTGCTTTAGTCAACGAATTTAATTTGGAAAATATTTATATGCTAAACAAGACATGTTGTGAACTCTACAATTATTTTCATTTTTCCTAGAAAAAGTGCAAGCAAATACATATTTGCTTTATCAAATCCAAAAACCCGAGAGACGATAAGGCCCAAATTTCCAGCTGAAATATTCAAATCTGAGCAAAACCATATTTTGAGAATTCTACGATAAAATTTAATATCCTCTGTTAGATGCATAATCATAAAAATACGCCTTTTAATTTAACAATGTTATACATTTTATTAATAAATGCAGACATTTTGAATTTCATTTTACATTGTGCATTTTTTTCCATCATTCGCGAAATCATTTTTAAACCTTCTTCTATATAAAAGTGACAGTAAGTGACGCGGTCGCGCGCAATATGCCTTAATATTAAATAATTCAATATTATTTAATTTAATATGAAAAGATGAAGAATAAGCCTAACAGTGATGAAATGCGGATTCACCTTTTTTTCTTATTCTATTAAATAAACAGAAACATTCAACGACGAACAAAGTGAGATAAAAAAAGACAATTCCGCCAACCGGGGAAAAAAAAACCCCAAAAATAAAACAATTACCAGGAGGAAGTAGAATAAAACGAAGAAAACAGAAAGACGCAAAAGGTATTTGGAACAATACAAAAATCACGAGCAGCCAAAATAAGCTATCGTCGTCATCTTTTAAAGCAAGCACTACTCAAGTTTTCTCTTATATGTAAAAGATGTTCCAATAACTTGGACTTATTTTAAATGTGAATTAAGTTTAACCGTCTAATGATTTTCTTTTCTTTCAGATTTGGTCAATTTGCCACCACGATCGTGCGACTTGATTTCTTTTTTTGGGGTCATCTCAAAAGTAAGGTCTCTGGCAACAAGAATTCAACAGATAAAAGATGAGATGATAAGACATATTGGTGAGATCAAGGAGCAACTATGCAGAGACGCCATCAAAAATTTTGACCATCGACTGGAGGTGTGCCGCTGAAGCCTTGGCGGACATTTGGGCAATAATAGATTTTCACCAATAACACTGATTTATTTACTGCAGATTTTGATCCGTCTTAATGAAACACCCCCTTTTTTTTTTTAAGCGTTTCACCCCAAGCAAGGCGAGAAGCCACTAGGACGCAAGGGGTTACAGAAAATTTGGAGCAAGATCAGATATGAGTGATAGAAGAAAGGATGAGAAGAAGGTTAGTGGATAGATCAAGGCAACGGGAGATGTCGATTGACATTACATTTGAATAGCTGGAGATTATAGTTCTCAGGGAAACTGGAATAGGGAAGGGAGTTCCACAGGCGAGACATGAAGCTATTGGAGTAGAATAGACGGCTACATTCAGGAGTTTCGACAATGAAAGGGTGAGAGCGGGATGCCAGCCACGTAGGGCGCTTGAACTCATGAAGTCTGGGAACCAGCGAATGCAGCTCCTCGGAGCAATTTCCATGAAAGCATTTGTAGAACAGACAGAGAGAGGCGACGGCGCGTCTGTGAGAGAGTGACTGTAGACGAGATGCCAGATCAGGGCCATTTATATTTCATATCCGCCTCTTATAATGCATTGCTAATAATTTTAAGAAGAGAACTAAATTGAAACAAGCGAGGAAAACTAAATGCCAGTTGTCAGAAGTGAATGATAAACGGTGCCTTCAGAAATTTTGTTTGAGAGAATGATTGAAATACTAAATACGAAAAAAAAACCCATTCTTCCTGATATGGAGAGAAACTGTTTTCATCACTAGTATTAGATTCAGTATTATTTTTTTCTTTTAATGTGACGTGTTCTTTCAGTACGTAGGCGATCATGGTTCTCCACTTCCTCCTATCCATTGTAGTTCTCAATAGTTTCTCTCCCTCTGCCATCTCCCCCCGGGGCACGTTCTGTCATCCATCTGTTTAAGCGCGTCCGCTATGCCATGCGCTGTCTCTCTTTCGCTCTATTCGACCCGTGAGTATCACAAACTCCAGAAATCTTAAATGGGCAATAGTTATCGAAATAAACAAATATCAGGTACCAATGTGTTATAGTGGAACACACCTATTCTATAGTTAATAGACTCTCCCACCTATAATAAGTAGGAGTAGTAAGAGTAACAAGTCAGTCGCTGAGTCAGTCAGTCGATGTCGGACGACAGTTAGTCGGATACTAAAGTATCAGCGACCACCACTAGATTTCTCTGCGTCATTACCTATTATATCAAATTCCTAACGTTTTGTACGTCGAACCTATTTTAGGACCGACTTAGTACAAATACAAGCCTCCACTGTGAAATCACTCCACAACACAATGGACCAGAGCGGCCATAGTATAACAGGTTAGTAAATACACCTTTAAGATGTTGATGGTCATAGCTCTCCACAATTTTCTGTCAGCCTACGGTCAAAATTACGTTGAAACATCGGCTCTCGTACGAACACCAAAGTTTAGCAACGTCGAGCGTGGTCAGTACCTCGATGGGTGACCGCTTGGGAATACCAGGTGTTGTATGCTTGGATGTGCAGGTGGTGTAATAGATAATGGATCGGATTTGTTAATTGGGGAGCCGAGTTCAAATTCCAGTTCGTCATATTCACTTATGCGCAAATACCCTCGGGAAAGGTATGAACCGGCATTTTCTCACCCAGCTATGGGTTCATCACTAAAACATTATGTGAGAATTAAACAAAAATTGGGTGGTGGGAAAAATAAATTTCCACTCTAATCTGTTCCCGCTGACAGCTAACGTGGAAACAGGAACACCGCTTCGCTCGGGACTCTGTTTTCTGCACACCGTAAACAACAGTACTATCGCTCTTTCTCTGGAACACGAGTATAACCTTCATCAGTCGCAAAGAACAACCCCCCCCTCTCGAAAACAAAAAGTCAGCTCTTTTTTTATCCTTCCTCGGTCTCGGGCAAGAAACCTAGATATCTCGCTTTTGTAAGCCTCGTTCTCGCCGATAACGCATGCGCTGTGTCACTTCAATATTGATTTGCTGAAGTTCGCCTCGCAGGCCGATGATGTCTACAAGCACATGTAAAGAAAATTCGCCTTCTCTTGCTTCAGCAAGGTATGTCTCAACTACACATTATTATATGAAAGAATTCTTACAACTTCAAACTATTTTCTAGCTTTAAATATCCTGCAAAGGGTTGATAAACCGTAAATATCAAATCAGTCAAAAAAAACAAAACAAAAAAATGTTAGGAACTCTAGGTAAATCTTAGGTAAATTTTAACTTTCGCTGTCGCTCATAATCCCTGTTCCCCTATCCATTTACACAAATTCGTGAAGTTATACGAGGTTTTCCTCTCTCGTCCTTGCCTTCATATGTCCTGTGAGTGTAAATTTTTCAAGCCTTTTCTTCATTATGTGTTCTAGAAATTTCAACTATTTCTGATATTACGTTAAAAAAAAAAAAAAGTCCTTTTTGTTTTCCTTTTTTCTAAAGCTTAGTCATTGCTCACATGTTCAGTCCATGGAATTCTCAGCATCTTTCTGTAGAGCAACATTTCTGTTATTTCAAGTCTTTTCTCCATTTGTAAGGAGGTTGTCATGCATTCATTGCCAACAGGGGGACAAATTTTAAATAAAAACTAAGAACATGAAACGTATATTTTCTTATCTTTCCCGGATCAAGGAACGCTTGAAGGCAGATAATACATAACCAATATCAAAAATGGAAATCATTTGTCGTTAAGTGCATAAGTCAGTTTGAAATTAATTAAAATTATAAGAATATTCTTTTCGGTTTTAAATATCTTTTTATTCTATTTATAATTGTTATTATCGGTTATTTATTTATTCATTATTTTGTTATTGTCTGTCTATTTCTTTATTTAATGAGATTCTATTCTTAGAATTGAACTACCGTAATTCACCATGTATAATACGCATTTTTTTTCTAAAAATAATAAGCAAAATCAGGGGTACGTATTATACACAGCTACAAAAAAACTTTAAATAAATTGCCGTTTTATAGGTCGATTTCAGTTGCGAAATAACTACTCACCACAAACATACGACAATTTGATACTAACATTCGGCGATTGCGACTCCATAAGGATGTCAAATATAATCATATGTACCTAACAATACTTACAAATGTCAAATAAAATAAGAATTATCATAAAACTAAATTAGATTAATATTATTCTATGTTTAATACGCTGGCTGTAATGAAATCGGAGAGGTATAATTGATAGGGTTTTATTACCAAAGGGTGCATATTATGCGTGAGTATAAGCATTTCCCACACTTTCAGCAGAATTTTAGGCGTATTATGGGGAATTACGGTATTTGTTACTTTTTTCTATTCTCGTTGCCTTTCTTTTAATTCTCCTCGTGTATTCTCTCTTAACTCGTTGATACCTTTTACTGTTTTCTTTCTAAACTTCCTCTAATTTCATAGTTTCTTTCTTTGAAAAACTTTTCAAATTTCAATTCTTTCACAAAATTAGAATTTAGCTACTTGTTCCCGATTTCTTCCAGTTTCTACTTAAATCTCCTCTTGTGTTTCTTCCGACTTTCTTTTCTGAAAATGTCTTCGCTTCCATTTTTTTTTCTCTTTCTCTTTGTTTAGACGCTGAGTTTTCTAACATTTTTATTGAAACAAAAATCATAAACCGAAAGCATTATCATAAAAGAGAAAGTTTCTGTCGAAAGCAACCTGCGTAAAATTGTATTATTCATCAAAATCATGAATTGAGAGAGAGACTGAGAGAAATTACTCAAAAGAAAAACACGAGTTAAAAACACATTTCAGATTCTTTGCTCAACAGAAAAGGTTTCTTTTAATTTTCTTTTCAAGTCACTTGTTTGAAAATGTGTGTCAGCCACTCTAATGTCTCCGGTAACTGGACCTTATTCAGAAATATTTTCTTATTAGTTTTAATAAAACAAATTCAGACACGTCATTTTCTTTCCTTCTTTTAATTAAATTTTTCCTCCTTTACTGAATTTTGTCTGTGCTCGAGTCTTGTAGTCTTCAAAATTCTGAAGAGCACACTTTTCTTGATACAATTTTTGAAAACACAAATGCGACGATTCAAAGTAGCGACTAAAATGAGAGAGAGAGAGAGGGGGGATGGGGAGAAATAGAGGGAGTGGGGAGAGAGAGAAACCTGATATTGAATTTGAAGAATAGAAGAAGACGGACAGAATAAATGTAAATTCTGGAAAAAAATATTCTCATATCAAGAAGAGAGGACAGAAAAAAATCGGAATTGAAAGAGAGATGAAAGTTCAAAGTAAATATGACAAATTGCGTGAGAGGATGAGAAACAGAGAGGGAGGGAGGGAGGAACGAGAGAAAAAGAGGGAGGGAGGGAGGAACGAGAGAGAAAAAGAGGGGGGAGGGAGGGAGAGAGAACAGAGAGAGAAAACAGAGAGGGAAGGGAGGGAGGGAGGAACGAGAGAGAAAAGAGAGGGAGGGAGGGAGGAACGAGAGAGAAACAGAGGGGAGGGAGGGGAGGAACGAGAGAGAAACAGAGAGGGAAAGGAGGGAGGAACGAGAGAGAAACAGAGAGGGAGGGGAGGAAGAGAGGGAGGGAGAGAGAGGGAGGAAGAGAGAGAGAGGGAGGAAGGAGAAAGAGGGAGGAAGAGAGAGAGAGGGAGGAAGGGAGAGAGAGGGAGGAAGAGAGAGAGAGGGAGGAAGGGAGAGAGAGGGAGAGAGGGAGAGAGAGGGAGAGAGGGAGAAGAGAACAAGAAAAAGAGAGAAATGACAGAGAGAAATGACAGAGACAACGAAAAAGAAAATGACGTTAGATGAAGAAAATATATATAAGCAGCAAGAGCGAGCGAGTGCAGATGATAGAAAAGAATACAGAAAGCAGAATGAGAGAGAAATGGAGAGAAGGCAGAGAGAGAAGGCAAATAAAGAGAGGAAGAAAATATATAGAGAGAAAGCGGGCAAAACAAGCCAATTTGTGGGGGGGGGGAAGATGAATTGCATGATACAAACGCACACACGTAAAAGAATCGAATGATGTAAGGTAAAGAAATAGTGCAATAGACGAGGTTATAAAATGGAAAAGAGGTAAATCATTTGTGTAAAGAAGGAAAAAAGAGGAGTAGAGGAGAGAGAGAGAAACAGAGACTATTTTGATGATAACGAAGGAGACTACGATGACGCCCGAGGAATGAAGTGGTTCGAGGCGGAAACAAAGGTGGTTTGTCATCTTTCAACCATAACACCTTCTGTATGATAAACGGTTTTGTCAATAAGGGGGACCTGTTGCACATGCACAGTGAGTTATAGCCCTAAAGAACAGTAGACAATAAATGATCGTCAGGCCAGTCAAAATGATCTATCAATACAACAATAATGATGACTACAGATGGCAAACGTTGTCACAAATCAAAGAATAGACAACGCTCACCAATATTGATCAAGGATGATATACTGTCAATGTCCAATTATGAACTAAGAAATACATTATCAAGATAAAGTAGAGAATATTGTTTAACATTAGTTTTAAACCAGATGTGATATCGAGGATTTCATGCAGTTAAAACTTGTAGCAAAGTGTTGAAATCTGGTGTTTTTGAGGTTCTACGTGTCTTGGTGGCTTCATGTAGCGCTAAAGCTAATGACAAATCCTTCCAAATCATAAATCCGTTTAACTTGTCACAAACGCTTGCGTAATAAAGGGGACAACAGAAAGTAACAGGTTACTATTTTTTTGCTGACGATTACATTGTCAATACATTTAAAAAAAAACCCCAAAAAACCTCGAACACGACGTCAGATAGATTTTCATTTGCATCTGAATATGTTGATAAATTTCCTTTCTTTTATGCGTGCAAATATTTAATACAGGAGATTATGTTGAATGTCTATGTATTAGTAATAGTAGTAGCAGCAGTAACAACCATAATACAGCAATAGGTAAATTTGGCCAAAGATAATATAAATTGTGTAGCTGTTTCAAATAATACTGACAAAATGAAAGGAAATAAAATATAAGATTTGTATAGATATCACTCAGAGTTGAACAAGATCAAAACTGAATAAACAGAAAAGCTTCAAAAACTAACAAATTTTTACTGAAGATTGGATAACTCAGATTAACTAACAAAATTTATAGAAAAGTAACTGCCTCCAAACTGGAACTAAAGATTAAGAATTACTTCTAAATTATAACTGGTTAAAAATAAATTACTCTCTCGAATAGTTTATAACACCCTATTTATCATCTCTCAGTCGCGTCTCTGTCTTTAGGCAGGGTGCGCTCAGGGGTGGCTCTGTCAAAGGACAGAGTCGGAACCGAGGAAAAATTATACTGAGAGGTGCCCAGCCCTGGGAAACAGCTGCCCGAAGCCGCGCCTTCTCATTGCTCTACAGAGAGGGATTGGTGCTCGCACCGAGGTCAGGGGAACCGACGGTTGTGGTGCTCGGGCAATTTTTGATCCTAGCCCGGGTGTACGCGCTCAGGCTCCTTACATAATACCGACCTTGTGTCACAACCTGACCTCGTGGGTGGAAGGTGAGTAGATACAAATATATTTTGTTCATTTTCTTCTCAACAAATCAAGTAGGAAAAGACACTAAGATTACGCAGTCATTTGATACTTCCCTTTTTATTAAAAAAATCACGGAAGTTAAGCAATGTCCACCTTGGTCAGTACTTAGATGGGTGACCGCCGAGTACTGTAAGCAAACTCCTATAACTCGAAATATTGTTTCGGCTTTAAATAACTCAAAGAGTTGATAAGCTATACAACAAAAAATTAATATTTCTAAACAATACTGCCTGTAAACGTGGGGAAATGTACCATACTTTATGAGGGCTCCAATTGGTAAGCAACTCCCCTCCCGCCCAAAAAAATAAAATAAAAAAAGAGAAATTTGACAATTCAAATTTCGATGTCTCTCAAGGTTCTTTTAAAATGAATACATGATAACTTCCTTTCTCCAGGAAAAATACAGGTTTGTCACATGTCTCTTCAGAGCGTAAGCGATAATGGTTCCTATTTATTCTGCTTTAAATATCCAAAACTGCTTAGGGCGCATAATAAAATAAATAAAAAAAAATACAAAATTTAACACTCACAAGAACTATTTTGGTGAAAAGAAACAGAAACTGTGAGTAACATACCTAACAAGCTTGTGTAAATAAATTGGAGAGCAGAAAAATGGGAGAGCAGGAAAATAGGAGAGATAGCAGAAAGATAAACATTGCTTAAAGCTACAAAGGATAAAACATTCTGGAGGATCATAACCTTACAGTTCTTAATTGATCACATGTTCAATCTATGGACTTCTGTAGAACCAAATTTCTGTTCACTCAAGTATTTTCTTCATTTGAGATTAGATTGTCTAGTATTCACTGCTATATAAGAGGACTGCTATTACATAACCGTTTAGTACACTTTGTTACTAACGAAATTTTTTATTTTTGTTGAGATGTTGAGTGTTTCCGCGTTCGTGTATTGAAATAAGGACAAACACATACGTAGGGAAAAATACTGGTATATCTGAAGAGGTATTTACAACAGAGAGATTAGTAGTCAAACGAACGCAGGTTAGTCAGTAACAATCAGAAAGAGTATAAAGTCCAACTGTATCTTCCGGTAGAGAGACGGAAGTGTGATGGTCACCTGATCTTCCCAGAACTGTCCTATTAGTAGTAGAGAGATCAGTCTTTTCTGATGAGAAGGTGGGTGCGCCCCCAACAATTTTATTACTGTGCTTAGCTTTTGGAAGACATCTTTCGCTATTCAAATGTGCTTTCGGATCTCACACTTTTTTTTGTACCTCCAATTTGTAATTCGCATATTGAGCAGTTTCTTTTATTGGCAGCCATACATCGTATCTTTTTACAATTAATGTATGCGTTCTTCTAATTTCCTTTCTGTGTCTATTATTAATGCTGTGTCATTTGCATATGTAATGTTAAGATTGTGGCTGGCAATAATGAATCCTGGTAGGCATTCTACTCTCTCAGGATCACTTCGCTGTGTAGGTTGAATAAGTCCGGTGAGAAGATACATCCTTGTCTTACACCCCCCTTTCTATTTTTGTGTATTTACTAAATTCATTTTCTATCTGTATGCAGGCGATTTGCTCCCGGTATAAATTCTGGATTATTCTAATATCCTTTCCAAATAAATCAAGCTTAACTAGCATTTTCAACTGTGCTTTTTGACGTCTTTGATAAAACGCTTTTGTACAAATGTTTGTTATTTTCCCTATTCATATTAAATATATTTAAAGTATGTTTCAGATTAACTTTCATCGGCACGATGACAACAATGTAGTCACTTTTATCTTCTAGATTAGCATACTGGCTATAAAATTTGATCTTATGAAATATTATCAGATGATATATGTAATAAGACAAACTATTCACGTTTCAAACAGCAACTGTGCATGAAAAAGGAAAAGTCTTTTAATCGACAAGATTCAATGTGTCAGTATAATTTTCTGTTGTTTCTAGAGATTTTATTCCTCAAAGACAGACAAGCTGAAAATATATTCGTTACGAAAGTTAAGTGTGTGTGTGTGAGAGAGAGAGGGAGAGAGTTAAACTTGATATTACTTTTTTAAAAAAGTATATAATGAGTTGATTAAAATGACTATCAATAGTTTGCAAGAATTTTTTTAGTAATGTTTACCAAGCAAAAAACATTCAAAGTGGGAGGAGGATGAAAAGGATTGAACAGTAATAATATGGAGAGATAAAAAGGAGATGGGGAGTAAGGGAGAATATACAAAAAAAACCCCCAAAAAAACGAGAGATAGAGAAAACAGAAAGAAAGAAAAAAAAAATGAGAGAGAATGTACATGGAGGGAAGGAGAGAGAGATAGAGTATATATATATATATATATATATATATATATATATATAATTATAATTTAGTATCTACTTATGTATTGAGCACTGATTTTTAAAAATAAAAAAAATACTAAATAATTTTGGATTATTAAACTCATGTGTTTTTCCTTATTTTTCTACATATTTACACACGCGCACACACACATTATATATATATACACAGGGAAAAGGAGAGAGACTGACTATATATATATATATATAACACATATACAGTGAGAGGTAAGGAGACAGAGAAATCATTGTAGTGAGAGAAAGCCAAATAGAGAATATATATATATATATATATATATATATAGAGAGAGAGAGAGAGAGAGAGAGAGATTCAGAGAACGAATGAATATATGTCAGTGGCGATCCCGGAGGTCGGGCTTATCGGGATTAGCCCGATTGAGTCAACCTTCAAACCTTTTAGCACAATGTATCAATTGAAAAGGGGCAAATTAAATTTAGCCTGACTTAAGTCGGCGAAAATCAAAGAAAGGTGGCAGCCTTAATTCGTCGACTGGGATAGTGTTGAGGAAATATGATATCAGTCAGCAGTACTGATCATAAACGTACAATAAAAAAACACACTAACGGATAGACGTATATACAAACAAACAATCGAGGTAGATACACATGTTTTTTTTTCTAAAAAAGACATATCTGACTGGGGCGTTCCACTTGTTTTCATTTCTTTACCAAAAGAGTGGAAATAATAAATGCAGAAATATGAAAGATGATATACTATTATCAGTTGTCAAAATACTATCTTATGCGATGCTTCAATCAATGATAAAAGATCATAATCAATCATTTTAAGATTTTGCTTGAGAAGTTTTATTTTGTTCAGTAATGGTTAGTAAACATTTTTATTGGAAACTTTTTTGTTAACGTATACGCACACACTTTTCTGATTCTCTGAGAGTTTAACTCATCATAACATTGTAAATTTTATTTTTTATTCGAAGCTTATTAAAGAACTTAAAATATAAAAATCATTTTGGACATATTTCTTTCAATTCAGTGTTTTTTGTTTTCCATTATAAATGCCGCTTATTATAAAATATCAATGTTTATTTCAATTTACTTTACGCATTAAGTAATGTACCTAACCATTCTCTAAATATTTAAT